CCTTCATCATTTCCTCAAAGATATTCTCTGTTGAGGTCAAATCCTTGTTATAAGCCCTCCCAGCTACATGCTGCCTCTCCATCATAGCGTCCCTCACCATGGCCACTTCACAGCTATACATGTTACGGGATTAATGCCTCTCTCCCCTACTAGACTATAAGGCCCAGGAGAACAAGATCATTTTTAGCTGTGCTTACCCTTAAATTTCTCATGTCCTACACTCTTCCCCTCTCCCACTCTCCTTCCACTTTGTCCCCAATGTCCATACAATTTTCAATACTCTTTTGTCCTCCAGTCTTTAAGTCTCTACAAACCTGGGAGAAAAAAATAAACATCTGTGGGACACAGAAATGGTTTATTACCTGTTGATGATGACATGTATAGTATTCTCGACTGGACTGGTCTGAGGTGCATTTGATGCTGGGTAAATTCTCTTTATAATCTAAATGATGTATAGCGACTGAATGTATAGATAATAATAAAAACAAGTTTCTCATGCCCAGCAGAGCCCGACACATAGTAGATGCTCAATATATTTTTAAATTAAGACATAAACAAACAATAAAAGTATTTTCTCCAACCTTCCTTTCATACATTCCAAGATTTAGCTATGGAATCTGGATAAAATGACTCAAGGTGGTAATATCATCATGTAGCTATATAAATAGATAGATAGATCTGTCTACCTTGTTCCCTCCCTAGAGATTAGGCTGTTTTCACCATTCTAGCTACTGATTCCTGCAGTACTTTGTACTATAATTGACCCTATTTTTTTTTAAGAGATTTTTTTTTTGCTGTAGGGCATGTGTGCTCACTGGAGAGACAGAGACAGACATAAAGCAAGAAATCACCCCCCTCCCCCCAAGGGGAAAGGCCACACTGCAATCCCTTCTCCTCCAGTCTCTGCTCAGGATTTTGAGCACACGCACCTGGCATGAGCTTCAAGTCACCGGGTCCACGACTCGAACTGTGGTTTACTGTGTGGGAGTCCAGCAATGTAACCACTGTGCCATCTATTGGTCCCACTAATTTCATTTTTATTTATGAACTTATTTTAATATAGGTTCTATACCTACAATTTAAAAGTTTCTATTATAACTGTCTTTTTGCATGAAGGTAAGTTTTTCAGTTTCTCCTGCCCTTTCCTAGTGCTAGATGCTATATAACAAACAGCATCATTACATCCACTATATGAACCTAATTTTCTCAAGGTATGATATAGAATATAGACATCAAGATTTTAGACAGCCAGGGAGGCCACACTGATCTGTGGCATCCTCGTGATTATCCTGTTAGTGCAAAAGAATCTAGCCCTTCTTCAAGCCCTGCTAAAAGCCACTTCATTGGACAAGAGAGATTCAGAGGGAAATAGCCCTGTTTCATAAATAGCCATACCAAATCACCACACATGATGGCTAGAGAAAGAGGTTGTATCCAATAGAGAGTTAATTTAACCTATTGCTGTTTGTAATGACTGTGTGACAACAGGAATTCTTGACAGGAGGCCCAAGATGCCACCCAGCCAGGGCATGCACCATACTCCTGTATGCCACCCAGCCAGGGCATGCACCATACTCCTGTATGATCAACAGGACTAAAGAAAAGTCAAGCTATAAATCTTCCATGAAGGCAGTTCAGTCATAAGAAATGCCTTGTCAATTTGGTATTCTGGAATGTTGCACTTTGGTGACAGATGTTCTCACCTATTTTCAGCTGCACCCAAACTGCTGCTTTATTTTCAAATTCCTGATCTCATGGCAATAACTCCAGCACTAAGATGGCACTTCACAGTTTATTAAGCATTATCTCTTGCCCGAGTCTGGTAGGATGGGTAGGCAGATAGAAGATGAAGTTCCAGCAGTAGGGGTGTCATATAAAAGAAGGTGCTTGACACTGGCAGGACTCAATCATAGCACTACATGGTGGGACGCAGCCTATTACATCAGGTCCAGACACCCAATTTGTCGTACCGATAAATAACTCTCAGAAAAATGAGAGTTAGTCTGAGAGAGACACCAGAATACCATTTATGTTAATTTATAATGGACCAACAGTTGGTGTAATGGCTATGTCGCTGGACTCCCATGTAGTCAACCTTGGTTTGAGTCTTGGACCTGGTGGCTTAAACTCACGCTGGGCGCGTGTGCGTGCCCAAGATCCCAAGAGGAGAATGGAGGAGAAGGGATTGTGGTGTGGCCATCCCCCCTGGGGGGTGATTTCTCACTTTCTGTCTCTGTCTTTCTGGCGAGCGCACACGCCCTATAGCAAAAGCCTCTCTTAAAAAAAAAAAGTATGTTAATTCATGAAACATTTCCATCCCAGGACCAGAATTTAAAAATGCATTTGGGGAGGGAGAGCAGAAGGTGGATAGTGGTTATAGCACTGGACTCCCACATGGCTGACCATGGGTCAGGTCCAAGAGCTGGCAGATTGAAACTCACACCAGGCACATGTGCATGCATGCCCAAAATCCCAGGAGGAAAATGGAGGAGATGGGATGGTTATGTGGCCATCCCCCCGGTGGGTGATTTCTCACTTTCCCTCTCACTGTCTGTCTTTCCAGTGAGTGCATGTTCCCTATAGCAAAAACCTTAATGAATTAAAAAAAGAATGCATGTTTGGTATATTTTACCTCATTAAGAGAGTGGTTCCAACTTTTTCTACATCTGTAGCACATCGATAGCATCTCATTGTAAAAGGAACATTCACCCAAGACATAGGTGGCTTTGCTAGCTTACAATCAAAACAAGGAAAATTAGAGACACCGTTTAAAACACCAGGAAGAATTGATCTTACCAGTTACATTTGTTGACGGAGAATATCTGAAGATTGTAGGTTAAAATCCCTGCATCTTTTTTTTTTAAAGAATTATTTTATTCAATTTTATTCATTCATTCATTTATTTTAATTTGACCAGAGAGAGACAGAGAGAGAGAGAGAGAGAGGAAAGTGAGAAAGCAAGCCCCCAGGTCCAGGACTTTAACTATGGTCAGCCATGTGGGAGTGTCCAGCACCTTAACCATCATGCCACCTGCTGGTCCCAAATCCCTGCATCTTTTAAACTAAAAGCCAGAATGTTTGAATATGAAAACCAATACTTCCTCTCCTCTAAACAGTTCTTGGAAGGGCCCCCGACAATGTTCATCTGATATCCTTCTGCTGGACATCACTGATTTAATTCCCAGTGGAATGAGAGATAAATACTAATCCACACATTTTGCAGACGAAAGGACTAAAAGGCTCAAGGAATCTGTCAGCACATGACAAAGCCGAGGTCTGTATATTCTTGCTAGCCGTAGAGCCACTGCTTCTCAGGTGACTGTACCTGGTGTATCCGTTTTACAGAATAACTTCCAAAGCATAATCTTACCTTCTTCATGTCCTGATTTTATCAGTTCCTTGCAGCTGCTGAGTTCTGAAAACTGCTCACCTTACAAATGAAAAAACCAAAGTGTGGAGAAGTTAATGTTTTCAAGGTTATACACTCAGCTCAAGTGAACCTGGAACTCGCGTTAAGTCTAAGTTCTAGACCAGAATTCTTCCCACCAAGCTACACTGTCCTTCCTTTGGAAGCATTTAGTTCTTTCAAGAGACCTCTGCTCTAACAGGCTCCAGCACCTCAGTACACACTGTGACTGGGTTAACAAAGGGTTTTTCTCTCTTAACCTATCTCCAAGGAAATATTTCTATCTAGGAAGAACTATGATTGTTTCTAGCAGAAGTTTGCAGAGTGTCCTTCATTAGCTAATAGGAAAAAAGGAATCTGAAGAGCTTCCTAAAGTTTCAAGTGTTTACATTAGGGTGCTAACTGCTATATAAAACCCTCAAATCTCAGTGGCTTAAAAAAGATTATTTCTTGATGATGTCATTGGACAAGGTAAGAGGAAGCCTGTGTTCCAGGGATCAAGGCTTTAACAGTCTGACAAAAAGATCCATGGCCAAAAGATCATCCCCCAAAGCTAAGAACCTCGGACCTAGTGGCTTCACTATTCGTTAGGGCCTTGTAGTCTTTCATCAGTTCCTTTCCATACAGCAGGCCAGCAGCATGAAGAATTATTTGAAGGGCCAGGCCATGGTCTAGTGGTTAAGGTAGCTAGATCCCATAGAGCTGACTGTGAAAATTGAGTCCTAAACCTGCCAGCTTGAGAAATGTGCTGAGAGTGTGTGTGTGCCCAAAATCCCCAAAGGAGAGATAATGGAGAAGGGATTGTAGTGTGACCATGCTTTATGGGGGGTTGGGAGAAGTGTGCTCTCTCACCTCTCATCTGTCTCTCTGCTATAAGCACATACACACTCTGGCAGATTTAAAAACAAACAAACAAACAAACACAAAACAATGTTTTAGAGAGCAGCCTAGAAATGGATTATATCATTGTCTTCTTCTGTTAACTAGAACTTAGTAATGGATACCATCTAACTGCACCAAAGGCTGGGAAATGTAGTCTCTGGATGCCCAAGAGGGAAAAGGAAATGGGGTTTGATGAACACAAGGTTATGTCCGCTACACTGTCAAACACATTGGGTTATATCAACGATAATACAAATTCTAAGTGATAACGGTGGTTCTGACATCCAGCGTTATGATACTAAGTGCTGTAGGTCCTCAATGAAACAATGATACTAAGTACTATGAACACTAAATGCTACACATGCCATACATTTACAAAATATTATAAAAATGACACAAATATTAAACTATATGATACAAATGCTACAAATGACGTAAAGTAGAAATACTGTGATATGGGCCAGCAGGTGGCATGGTGGTTAAGGCGCTGGGTCCCACATGGCTGATTCCATAGTCTGAGTCCCAGACCAAGTGGCTTGGAAAAATGCTGAGTGCATGCGTGCCCATAATCTTGAAAGGAAAATGAAAAGGGATTTTAGGTTGGCCAACCCCTCTGGGGAGTTATTTCTCATTTTTTTTCTGTCTTTGTCTCTCCAGCAAGCACACATGCCCTATGGCAAAAATCTAAAAAAAAAAAAAAAAAAAAAAAATCCTGCGATACAATACTAAATGACACAAACACTAAATGAGCAGTGATGCCAACAACCTAGTGACACACTGTTACTAGGTGATATACTATTAAATGATACGAAGACCCAAATACTAAATGACACACGGATACAATGACACAGACACTCAATATCTGTTGATGTGTAAAATACTTCCTTGATCTTGAGCCCGAGAGGAAACTGCCTAGACTGAGACAACTGCTCAGCTCACAGAGAGGTGGTTACAGGAGCAAACTTGTTGGCAAGGACAGATGGAGAGAGGGGATGGAGCTGGTGCTGGAGAGGCAGTAACACTGGTTTTCTATCAGCTGGGAAGAAAAAGGCAACACAGAGCTTTTTGAACTTTACCAAAGTTTATATATAGTTCTGCCAGAGCTGTTTTCCATAATCAAATAACTGAAGAGTTTTCTTTACCCGAAATAACCGATTCGTTTCTCTGCTGTTCACTCAATAAGCTGACTGATTAACACGATGGATGAACCAGTTGGATAACATGATAACTCATCCTCAGTTCTACGAGTAAGAGTATTCCTCATTTTGAGGAGAGTGTAAAACCTTGTTGGTGAAATGGAATGCCAAGCACAAACTCAAGAATTGTGTTTAGGTTGTTATCCCTGGGTCCTAACACAAGCCAGCAATGGCATGGTTCTGAGTCCTATAAATAGGAGGTTAGATGCCAAAAAGGACTTTGAGATCAGCCAAGGTGAGTTTGGTGACAGATTCTCCAGATCCTGATAGAACCTGTTTGGCCAAATCTTTCTTTTTTTCTTGAAGCTGCAAGATCTTCTCTTCCACTGTTCCCTCACAAACAAATCTAAAAATCAAACAAGGAAACTTATCAGAAACCTAAAATAGCATATCTAATGACACACTGAAACTTCCAAAAGCTTTAGATTTTTTTAAAAGAAGTATTTCATTTCTTCATTCATTCATTTTAAATTTGACCAAAGAGACACAGAAGGAGAGAGAGGGAAAGTCAGAAAGCAAGCCACCAGGTCTGGGACTTGAACCATGCTCGACCATGTGCGAGTGTCCAGTGCCCTAAGAGTGTCCAGTGCCCTAACACTATGCCACCTGCTGGTCCCCAGAAGCTTTAGTTTGTAATGATATTTTTTCTATCACATTTTCTTACATTTAGTTGTGAGCTTGCTGTTAAGGGAATCCAAACAACTGTGACTCGATGTCCATCTGAAATGATGTGACTAAGGGGCTGGATCTCACATGGCCATCTGTGGTTCAAATCCAGCCCTAGTGTATAGAAAAACACCAGGTGTGTAAGTATGCATGCCCAAATCCCAACAGAACAGAGAAATGAAGGGATTGTGGCCTGACCATGCCCCAATAGGGGGTGCTTTCTTCCCCTTCCTGTTTCTCTCTATGGCAAGGATGGATGGATGGATGGATGGATGGATAGATAGATAGATAGATAGATAGATAAATAAATAAAATGATGTGACTCAAATTGATGTTTTCTTTCTATCTGAAGCTGTGGTTATTGAGAAAGCACAAAACAAGCAGATTATACCTGCTATCCAAAACCGAGTATAGAGATCCAGCCTTTTAAAAATTTCGACAAGATCAGAAGGCCTCTGATGTTACCAAGTTTCTGCCCGTGTGTGTATGTATGCTGGCTAATGTATAGTATCTAAAATCTTGGCTAATTCACACGGAAAACAGGTTTTTCGAATTGAGGTGGTTTGTAAGAGAATGCACTTATTTTTAAGAAATAAACATTAATAAAGTATTTAAGGATAATGGAGCATCATGTCTACAACTTTCAAATGGTCCAGAAAAATGTTTAGATACATGCACATGCAGTCTACAGGGAATTATTGGTACTATTCTTGCAACGTCTCTGTATGTCTGAAATTATGTCAAAATAAAAATTAGAAGCAAAAAATAAAAACAAGAGGAGGGACAGCTTTTCACAGGCAACCTTGCCTAAGATACGGCTCTACATCATACATGAGCTAGTTCTCTGCTCACGGTGACTGATTCCAACTACCCCTCCCCGCCCCCCCCGCCGAGGTTGCTGTTTCCTTCCTGACTATGGCACGTGTGAGGGTGTGCCTCTTGAGCATCATTTGTAAAGTGATCAGAAAATATCTTCCATTCTATTGAAACACTATGCAGGAGACACTTTCACAAAAGCAGAAGTTGGGGAGGGTCCTGGGTCCTGCGGACTTTTACTGACCTGTGTATGACAACATCTTTCTGCTGCCCGACTCGGTAAATTCGGTCACAAGCTTGATCTTCAAGAGATGGATTCCTGTTAGAAGACATGTAAAGCTCAAAGGTGCTGACATCCCAAACCAGAGGTGGCAAACTATGGCCCATGGGCCGAATGCAGCCCACAGCCTGTTTTCATACACTTTTTGAGCTAAAATGGTTACTTTTTAGAGGGTTTTAAGAAAACAAAACACAAAGAAGAATACGGGACAGAAAATTATGTGACCTGCAAAGCCTAAAATGTTTATAGAAAAAGTTGATCCCTGTCCTAGGCTGCACTGGATTAAGAAAGGCAAGTGCCAGATAGCTTTCTTCTTTCCGTCTAATAAAAAACGGGTCAGACTGCTAATAATAACTCAGCACTGTCACCAGGTAACTATGTTGAGTAAGTAACGGAAGTGAAACAAATGCTCACATCTGGTCTCTAGCTAACTGGATGACCTCACACAAGTTATCCAACTTCAACCCACAGGCTTCAGATTGCTACCTGGAGATGTGAAGCCTGGTCAGTGATCTCAAATACCTACTTTTTTCAACTTTAATATCCTATGATCCAAATAAGGAACTTAGTTTGCTTCCTTCTTTATAGTGGGTCCTCGGGAAGGTCATGACATATTTTTTTTATGCAAAAATGTATCATGACTTTCCTGACGACCCAATAGATTTTCAATATCAAAACCAAATTGTTTCTTACCTACCTCTAAAAATCTTGGAAAACATCAGAAAATACCATAATTCCCAGTATTCATTCCTCATTCATGTGTATAAGGGAATCCCAAGTAAGACATAAACATACTCCCAGAATATAATAACAGGTTGCCTGTTTATATCAATCTGGACTCCTGGAGAATTAGATAACAATCCTCAGCAACAGTGCCTGGTATAGCCGTCCTCAATCGGAAAACCAGAAAAGTACTAATGAAGAGACCCTTCCAGAATATACTAACTTGTTCATCTTATACCCAGGAAGGATGACGATGTGCTCTTGGCATTGACATTACATACTAAGAATCCGTAGGCTATGTGTTAAATGTATTTCTAACACAACGAGAAAACTCCTTTTCAAGTAATTCTTCTCCCTCTTCTCCAAGGGGGGGAATTTTCTTGGTTCTCAAAAGATATGTCTGGAATATTTTAATCTGAAGAAGAGGTAAAACTGAATGATGTTAGCTCTTAGCCAGGAGGATAAACTGTGCTCCCAGTTTCCATGGAAACGCACTAGATTACCAATAAAATGAGCGAACTATTTTAAGTAGTCATTTGAAGCCTTGCTTGCTCAGGAATCTAGGGAAGTCAATAGCTCTGTATCCTGTGTAGATCTGTATCTGCAGGTATTTATGCAGAGACAGCTCTGTAACACAGAGCACACTCAACCTAAGAAGTCACTCCTACTGCATCTAGCCGGTCTCCCTGCAAGGTTGTGACAGCCCAAGAAAAATCCAGAATTGTGGTTACCAGTGCATGTCCAGAAGGAAAAGATGGTTTCCTCCAGTCAGGTTCAGACCAACACCTCCAGCCAAAAGGGAGATCAGCATGACCTTCCAAAGGAAACATACCATTACCTTTATAGAGCTGGTGTCAGAGAACATCTCTCTCCAGTTCAAGCCCAAGGTCAGTACAGATAAACATCATATTCCTACCAAATTCCCTTCAGCTGTTAGAAACACAGTTTTCTGAAACATTAAGAACCTTTCCCATGCCAAACCTTTGATAAAATTCTCACATCACATTTTGTGCATGCATGTGTGTGTGCATGCATGTGAGCCGACCCTAAAAATTTAATGGAGTTCCTGCTAAAATGCACAAATACTGTCATTTAGAGCCCTGGTAGCAGTCAGTTCAATCAACTGTTCATAAACTAGATTATGTCCATTTCATCGGTCCCTGCCTATCATTCAGTTAATGCTTTCCAAATCCGTATTCATAATTAGATGCCTTTGTTTTTCCATTTTCTCCTGTAGTTCCTCATATCCTTCAAGGTTTGCCTCCTCGACAAAGATTCTCCTGATCCTAACTAGTTCTGCTCTTAATCTTTTAGTACTCATATTTTATGCTTTTTAAAATATCTGAGCACTTTGACATGAACCCCAATAAATGTCTAATAAATTATAAATACTTGGAGAGATCAAGGTTGTGAATATTTTTAAGTGGAGTTGCTATATCATAATTCTCTCTGTATAACAGAATAATTTATGCTTAGTCTCGTAGAGCTCTGATGTGGTCAGCTCATACCTGTGGGCCCCCGGAGTGGTTAAATGCCTCTACCAAATCCATTCTCTGTTTTGGGTTCACGGAGCCATCGATGGTGGCGTAAGTTAGTCCATGCCTCTTAAGGTGCAAAGCTACAACTTTCAGCATGCTGGTCCACTGAGAGACGATGACACTGGGAAGAAGGATAAAACAAAACCAATCCCTAAAATAAATTACACTCCTCATTAGGGCTTTAATGTTCCTGTCATTCTTTTTTTTTAAAAGAGGTATGTTCACCAGAGAGATAGAGAGACAGAGACAATGAGAGAGAAAGTGAGAAATCATTCCCCAGGGGGATGGCCATGCCATAATCCCTTCTCTTCCATTTCCCTTCTGGGATTTTTGTAGTCCCTTCTCTTCCATTTCCCTTCTGGGATTTTGTAGACACACGCACACGTACCCAGTGTGATTTTCAAGCCACTGAGTCCAGGACTCAAACTGGGCGGCCATGTGGGCGTCCAGTGACATAACCATCTGATGTAATTCTACCAACTGCTGGCCCCGTTCCTGTCATTCTTAAGATTCATTATCAAAGCAGGGACTGGCAGATGGCATGGTGGTTAAGGTGCTGTGCACTCCCACATGGCTGACCATGGTTTGAGTCCCAGCCCTGGTGACTTGCTTTCTCACTTTCTCTCTGTCTCTCTTTAGTCAAATTGAAATAAATGAATGAATAAATAAAATTAAATAAATAATTTAAAAGGTTACTTATCAAATGTAGACAAGGGAAGACTATCTGCTACCTAAGCGGAAAAGGCATCTATAAAGGTTATGTTACAAAATTATGTTTTATGGGACCAGCGGTTGGTATAATGGCTATGTCACTGGACTCCCACATAGTTGATCGCGGGTCAAGTCCCAGACCTGGTGGCTTAAACTCACACTGGGTGCGTGTGCATGTGTGCCCAAGATCCCAGGAAGAGAATGGAGGAGAAGGGATTGTGGCATGTCCCTCTCTCCTGGGGGGTGATTTCTCACTTTCTGTCTCTCTTTTTGGCGAGTGCATCCGCCCTATAGCAAAAAACCTCTTTCCCCCCCCAAAAAATTAAAATGTTCATAGTTATTTCTATATCTGCTCTACAACTTACCTTGTCCTAAATGAAGTAAAAACAAAGGGAAGGGGGTGCTAGACTAAAGTCGTGACTCCAGTCTTCTTTTATTTGGAGGCCTGGTTCTGATTCAGAGACCTGTGGTCCTGGAGAAAAGAAATGCCCTCTCTGTGCAGAACAGAACAGCGTGCTGCTCAGCCTACCCTGGGCCCTCACACTACGTCTTAATTAGAGATTAAAATTTTCTTTTTCTTTTTTAGAGGTTTTTTTTTTTTTTTTTTTTTTTGCTATAGGGTGTGTGCACTCACAGAAGAGTCAGAGACAGACAGAGCAATAGAATGCAAGAAATCACTCCCTAGGGAGGATGGCCATGCCACAATCCCATCTCCATTCTCCTCTCAGGATCTTGAGCATCCACACACATGAGCCTGCATGAATTTTAAGCTGCTGGCTCTGGGACTTGAACTGTTGTTGAATGCATAGAGTCCAGCAACCTATCCATTACACCATATGCTAGTCTCAAGATCAACATTTTTAAACTGAGATATTTCATAAATATGAACACAGATGCAGACATAGACTATAAGACAAAGAACAACAAATGGTGAAAGTAACCTCTTCGTATCCAAGCACCAGCTTCAGTGGAACATGACGGGCACTACTGGGGCCCCTGGCTGACTTTTCTATCTGCCACCCCCTTGCTTTTCTGCTTCGCTTTTTTTAGAGAGAGATTTTTGCTATAGGGCTCGTGCACTCACTGGAGAGTACATGTACTCACTAGAGAGACAGAGACAGAAAGCAAGAGCTCAGCCCCCAGGGGGTATGGCCACACTGCCAATTCGTTCTCCTCCATTCTTTCTGGATTTTGGACATGCATTTACATGAGCCCAGCATGAGTTTGAAGCTGCTGGGTCTGAGGGACTCAAACATGGTTGACTATGTGGGAGTCCAGTACCATAACCATTATGCCATCTGCTGGTCCCTATTGCTTCTCCACTTTTAAATAGTTCTTTGATGTTTAGCTTACTCTGATCCTCTACCTCCTGAAAGGAATGTCGTTTTTAATCTGCACCGTAATGTGATACTTTAATTGGAAGTTGTAGGAAATTTGCATTAAAACCTCAATGCATTATGCAAGGTCTATGATATAAAAAGGTGGATTTATGACTATCAGCAATATCAAATGTGCTTGCATAGGGGCCAGCAGATGGCGAACCACTACGTCACTGGACTCCCATGTAGTTGACTGCAGTTCAAGTCCTGGACCCAGTGGCTTAAACTCACACTGGGTGCGTGTGCATGTGTGCCCAAGATCCCAGGAGGAGAATGGAGGCGAAGGGATTGCAGCATGGCCATCCCCCCTGAGGGGTGATTTCTCGCTTTCTGTCTCTGTCTCTCTGTCTTTCTGGTGAGCACATGCGCCCTATAGCAAAAACTTTTCCAAAAGAAAAAAAAAAATTTGCTTGCATAATTATAACCCATATTTGGATAATGTAATAACATACTTACCTCTTCTGAGACCTTGAATTTCTTCGGATTGCCTCCAATTCTGCCAACAGAGATGATATCTGGGAAAAGGTTACATAAAATAATTGTAGGTTCAAACAATTCACGGGTCTTTGTCTCTCACCTGAATTACTGAAGCAGTCTGCTAGACAGCCCGATGCTTCTAGTCCTAGCCCTCCCTATACCTCTCTCCTCTCTGCAACCAGAGGCTTCTTCTAAAATGTCCCTCAGCTGAAGGCCCCTTCCATGACTTCCCACTGAGGAATGAAGTCCAAGCTCCTTCAAATGACCTGACAGATCCTTGCTGCTCTGGCCACTGCTTACTTCTCTGATCTTGACAGTCACTATGCCTTCCTCAAAGAACATTTTAGTCATAGCAACATTCTTTAAAAAGGGGACCAGCAGGTGGCGTGGTGGTTAAGGCACTGGATATTCCCACATGGCCAACCACAGTTCGAGTCTTGGATCTGGTGGCTTGCTTTCTCACTTTATCTGTGTGTGTGTCTGTGTGTGTGTTTGTGTGTATGTGTGTGTCTATCTGGTCAAATTAAAATAAATGAATGAATAAATACAATTTAAAAACAAGTGAATTAATCAATTTAAAATTAATAAATAATTATTTTTTTAAAAGTTTATTTATGGGAACCAGTAGTTAGCGTAATGGCTATGTCGCCGGACTCCCATGTAGTCGACCGCGGTTCGCTTCCCGGACCCGGTGGCTTAAAACTCACGCCGGGTGCGTGTGCGTGCGTGCCCAAGATCCCGAGAGAAGAATGGAGGAGAAGGGATTGTGGCGTGATCATCCCCCCTGGGGGGTGATTTCTCACTTTCT